GCACCCTGTGCACCCCCATGCACCCTGTGCACTCTCATTCAACCTTCCCAAACCTGATGCACCCCCACTGCACCCTGTGCACTCTCATTCAACCTTCTTCAACCTGATGCACCCCCATACAACCTGTGCACTCTCATTCAACCTTCTTCAACCTGATTCACCCCCATGCACCCTGTGCACTCTCATTCAACCTTCTTCAACCTGATGCACCCCCATACAACCTGTGCACTCTCATTCAACCTTCTTCAACCTGATGCACCCCCATACAACCTGTGCACTCTCATTCAACCTTACCAATCCTCATGCAACCTGTGCACTCTCATTCAACCTTCTTAAACCTGATGCACCCTCATGCAACCTGTGCACTCTCATTCAACCTTACCAATCCTGATGCACCCTGTGCACTCTCATTAAACCTTCCCACACCTGATGCACCCCCACGCACCCTGTGCACTCCCACTAATACTGTAATTCTTGATTTTTTTAACATTCACTTGAGCAAATTCAGCAGTCAATATTCCACCGCTGTAATTTTATTTCTGCAACTATTCGAAAACTACAACTACAGAAAAATTACCTTATTTACACCTTAAAACGTACGTGCCAGGTGCTTACCCCTTTTCCTCAAGCCATTATATAAAGAAAGAGTAATAAAGAAAGGGAGTAGACAAGACAGCATGCGTTTACCGTATTAAGGGCTCTTCGTGAGTAGGTTTAAGAAGGTTGAATGAGAGTGCACAGGTTGTATGGGGGTGCATCAGGATTGGTAAGGTTGAATGAGAGTGCACAGGGTGCGTGGGGGTGCATCAGGTTTAAAAAGGTTGAATGAGAGTGCACAGGTTGTATGGGGGTGCATCAGGATTGGTAAGGTTGAATGAGAGTGCACAGGGTGCGTGGGGGTGAATCAGGTTTAAGAAGGTTGAATGGGAGTGCACAGGTTGCATGGGGGTGCATCAGGATTGGTAAGGTTGAATGAGAGTGCACAGGGTGCATGGGGGTGCATCAGGTTTAAGAAGGTTGAATGAGAGTGCACATGTTGCATGGGGGTGAATCAGGTTTAAGAAGGTTGAATGAGAGTGCGCAGGTTTAAGAAGGTTGAATGAGAGTGCACAGGTTGCATGAGGGTGCATCAGGTTTAAGAAGGTTGAATGGGAGTGCACAG